AACGCCCAAAATGAAGGAAGGAAAGGTTTATTTAGCTCACAGTTTGTGGAGGTTGCAGTCCATACTTGGCTGGCTCCGAGGCAGAAGATAGCAAAGCAACAAGAGCAAAGAAGAATGGCAGCCGAACAGCAAACAGCCAGAGCAAACCGGAGGAAAGGCGGCAAGCAGCTTCTTTCCCTGCCTTACTTTTTAAACAGGCTACCCCCACCTGAGGGGCTGTAGCTCTCACATAATCTCCATGCCCTCCTCTTCCACAGGCTCAGGATGTATACAAAGTAAGCACGCTGGCTTCCGGCTGAGTCACTCAGCCAAACCTCTAGACTCCCCAGGTTGACACAATGTATCAACCATAACACAAACAAAGACTTCTTTGGGGCTCTGGGGGCACAGAATACAGTTCAGCAAGGAACAGAGGGGCGAAAACAAAGTGAAAGTAAGAAAAGCATCAGATGGCACTGGTACTTCTGGTACAAAAGATGTCTAATGTAAGACAAACAAGTACGTCTAGAACTCAGAAGAGAAATCTAAGGTGAAAACAAAACTGATTATTACCCAGAACAGTGAATTAAACTGCCTAGGGAACGTGTGCAAAAGGATAGCACCAAAGGTAACGTTTCAAACACTAAAAATATTTAAAACATAGGCAGGAGAGCCAGGCGTGGTGGCGCATACCTGTAATCCCAGCACTAGGAAGGCTGAGGCAGGAGGATTTTGCAAGGTCAAGGCCAGCCTGGGTTACAAAGTGAGCTCAAGGTCAGCCTGAACTGCACAGTGAGAACCTGTCTCAAAAAGACAAAAAAAAAAAAAAAGAAAAGAAAACCCACACAGGCCGGACACACAGGCCGGAAGGAATGTGAAAACTAGAAGAATGCAGTAACATAGAAGTTCGGTAAGAAAAATTTAATGAAGCAAGGACTTGTCAATGCACTGAATGTACCAAAGGAGTAAAGAGTGGAAACTGAGTAGCTGGTGTCCTCAGGGACCCAGAGGAATTATGGGTAAAGAAAATCAATCTAGACAGAACTGAGTGAACAGAAGAAATAGAATGAATGGCTTGGCCTGGAAGACAGTAGCACCTAGAGAACAGGGAGTTGAAGAATGGCACGGCAGCATGTTTACAGGCTGAGAAAGTAACTAGTGGAGAAGGAGCATTTTAAATGCTACCCTTGTACTTAAAATTAGTACATGGAAAATTTACTCAAGACAAAATGTTAAGTTTAAAAAATTTAAAAATTGAGTTGCATCATAACCTAGCATGATGTCACTTCAAATTCAGACTCACCTCTAGTACTTTAAGTCCATTATGCTTTGGCCCATGCCTAACCTCTGACTTCATCATTTACCACTTTTTTTCTTCTTCATTCAGTATATCCCAGCAACTCTGACAATCTTCTGATCTCTTCAACATACAAGCTGGTTCCTGTTCAGGAGTCTTGCACTTACTGTTACTTCTGCCAGAATGCTCTCCCTGTCAATGGCTACATCCTTCAAGTCATTCAGATTTCAGTTCAAATTTCACTTCAGAGAAGCCTGCCTACTATGCATAACTGCATTATTTCTTTAGCCCAGCCCTCCAAAGTTATTAGCACCTTCTGTGTTAACTAGCAGTATCTGAAGTTCTTGTTTACTTGTCCATCTTCCCTCCTAGAAAATAAGCTCCAAAAGAAAACTTTCATCTTCCACATATCCACGCATTATTTATATTATTTCTGCTGATTCTGGCACAGGGTAGGTATTCTATAGCTGAACAGGAATCCACACACACATACTTACATGAAAAATATTAAGAAAGCTCTGAAAGGGTCTAATATTTCAATTTATTAGTATCAGGTGTGGGAATAAGACTAAGAACAAGAGTATATAAAATATCCACTCATCTCTATTCACATTTTCTATACAAGTCATGCCTTTTGTAAAATAATGACTGTGAGCCTAACAGAGCCAATTATTCTGCTTTTATTTTAGGGGAGCAGCAGAACTGTCATGGTTTAATCACCTGTGGGTCAAACAATCTGACTGTAGGCTGATCCTCAACTTGATCTGATTGTTCTAAGTTGAAATCTTAAACCTTCAAGTGGGAAAACACTTTAAAAAAATCAAAATCATGTAATCCAACCTCTAATTTTTTAGATTTAAAAGCAGTAATTTAATAATTAGTAAAAATAATTTAATAAAAATAGGTTGATATAAAACCCAAAGATTAAATGATCAAGACTAATTTATATTGTATATAATTCAAATAACAACTAATAAAAGCTGACTGTCACATATAACCTACAATTTTCTGGTGAAATTATTACTCAAAGTAAAACTACTTCCTTAAGCACATTAAACTGCTTAATGAATATACATACACCCACTTATATAACAATGACCAATGAATATACATACACCCACTTATATAACGCCCACTCATTTCTATTCAGTTTCTATACAAGTCATGCCCTTTATAAAATAATGAACAGGAGTCTAACACAGCCAGTCCATCCCACTTTCTATTTTGTGGCTAAGCATCATAATATAACAAAGGATTCGGAACACATAAACATCAGGAGTAAAAATTAGTCACTCCTGAAAACCTAACGCCATCAGGTGACCAGACTAACTGAACTCGCAGGTACTTCTTTTCACTAGGGTACACAACTTGTAAGGATTCATTATACTTCGATTCAAAATTTCTTCCTGAATTTCTACAATGTATATTTAATGGAATAAGTGTTAAATAAGTAAGAAATACACTACAAATATCAATTGCAGAAAATGACTTAAAACATTTCATCACAGAAATAGTTACCTGAAAGCTTACCAGAAATATACCAAATTTCACCTGAGCTTCTGAGTAATAGCACCTTAAGTTTTCTTTTACCAAACTATCTTGTGTTATCCTAACAACTCCATGGACAGCAGATATTGTTACTCCCATTAGGCAGGTAAGAATGAAGCTCAGAGGTTAAGGAGTTTGGCCAAATCATCAAATAAATCCTAGCACCTTCACTTCAGCTATTTAGCCATTATTTTTTCCATTAGCCAGGCTACTTCACATTTACCATTTGCTAAAATCTAGAATGCTTTATGATCTCTTCCCGGCCACCTTCACGAAGGTGAGGAGAGCACCAGCATTACTACTATATTCTACTAGAAATTTTATACATAAAATTTATCATTCAACTTGAGTGATGAAAAAGACGTGAACTGAGAATTGTGCTCATCAGCAATTCTGTATGAACACCTACCAAATGATATTTTCTTACTCATAGTAAAATACAGGTACCCTCTCATCCAGAAGGCTCTCTACAAATGATACACCAAACAGTATTAAGAAACAAGCTTTACAATGGAAAAAAAAAAAATCTGAAACTAAATCTTAGTCCTACCACTCAGTAACTGTACAACTGTGGGTACACTTACTAACTTTAGTCTCATCCTCACCCATAAAATAAGGAAAACAGCACTACCCTCTGTGAGTTGCTAGGAAGACTAAATGAGACAGTACGTGAAAAGCACTTAGCTCTTAGGAAATGAGCAGATCACATACACAACTGATGCTGGTAGGTACTGGCGACAGGTAATGACATTCATGTGAACTTTACCTGTTTAACGTCCAGTGTGCCCTTAAATTTTTCCACCCAAATATTTGGGGCAGGACCCAATACCATACCTCACTCTTTCTCCCAATGAAGCAATTAAAGTTAAAGAGCTTGGTTTCACTTCTCTTCCAACGCTGGTAAATTAAGCAATATTGTAATAATCTACTATGTATCTTGGAATTGGCTCTAAATCAAAGCTGACACTATTGTGCGTCAGTTAACTAGAACTTTCAAACTATTCTAAAATAAAATTATAAGAAGCCTCAATCGCCTAATGGACAAAGCACTGCCCTTTTAAAATAAAATTATAGAAAAAGCCAAACCATGAGAGTGACTTCTTGTTGGAAGAGCAGGAAACCCTAGGAAAAAATGAGCACCTAATATTGCAGAGCGTGTATTCATCAGATCATACACTGACTTTCTACCTTCTAATCTTCACAAGCATCATCCTAGTCAGTGTTACCATCATTCTACAGACTGGGGAAGAGAAGGTCTCAGTACTCTACTCTACAACAAGGCTCTTACTCAATCCAAGGCCTTTCCTCTTCTTGTACTGTCTGCCAAGAACGCTCCAGTCTCTCTACAAGGTCATCTTCTCCAGTTCCAGGTCTCACCTCCAACAGTACACCTCCCCTGCCCATCCAGTCTAAAGTAGTGCACACCCACTACTCCATCCACATTCTGTATTCATTTTTATTTATGCATCCAAGGGACGAATAATTTGACTCATTACTATAACCTGGTTGTGTATGTAAGACGCTGGTTTCATGAATGAATGAACACACCAGCCTACAGTCTTTCCTACATCGCAGGGCCTAGAAACCATTGCAAAAAAAGTTTAATCCAAGCTCCTGAAATGGTTTATCACTATTTTTCCATAGCTGGGAGGGGAGGTGGTTTGGGCTGGAAATAAATTAAGAGATATTCCTCACTGCTTTTAAAATGTTCATTTTCTTTAGAAAACTTACACAACTACCTACACATACACTCCTTCTATAAAATACTTAACTTGGATTTCAAGAGGTATTACACTGCCTTTTAGAATCACAACTCCATCTGAAACACTCACCTGCGACTTTTCTGAATAATGGTAATACTTTTAGACCCTCAGTAATTGGCAAACGCACAAATATTTAAAGCTACCGGACAACTAAGTCATACGTAAATGCAGCTTGGTAATATTTGGTCTAAGTTGTTCTGAATTTCACACCACGCAAGAGCACTTTAAAACCAACCACAAGCGACCATTCTGATAACGGTCACACCGTCCCTTCTTAAAGCCGACCCTTGCATTCTGCTCATTTCGCTGTTAAAACCTTGTTCTTGCAGGTAAACGTCAGCTCACGCAAAGTGCCACGTGCAAGGGCAGCGGATCGCCAGCAACGTTCCCTGCCCAGAGCGTGTAATACTTACTGAGCCCTCCATCCTCGGGCACTCCCGTCCCTCGCATGCCCAGGTAAGTGAGTCCCAGTATCAGGAAAAACAGGCAGGCGGCCGTCAGGAGAAACATGGACAGGTAGTGAGCGCTGAAGCTCCCGGGCGGCGAGGCCTCCTCGCGCCTGAACTGCTGCAGAAGCTCCTCCTCGGGCTCGGAGCGCTCCCGCGGGCCGTACGCGCCCTTCAGGCAGGTGTGATTGGCGCCCGTGTGGTTGGCGTGGTTGGCCCTGAGCGGGGCGGGGGCGGCCGCGGCCCCGGGAGGCAGGCTGCTGGGGAAAGCCCTGGGCGAGTCCGAGCCGAAGGCGCCGCCGCCGACGTGGTTGTTCGTCCTAAGGGGGCCCGCGGGCGGACCCAGGCCC